ACACAAACGCCGACTCCGACACCGCGCAGGCGCGAACAGCCGCACACCCACAAACAATCAGCGGCCTCGAAGAAAGATAAACGCGCGAGCGTGCTGGGGCTCGCGAACGCTGGACTGGGGAGTTTCAGGAAACGCAAGACCAGCCATACGAATACGAATACGGTGTCGCGCGCGTCGAGCTCTACCTCCGCATCCGCCTCTGGCTCTGGAGTTAGACTAAGGGAGAGGGAAGGAGCAGGGAGCGGGCAGGGGCGGAGCTGGCGAAGATGGAGCAGGGCCCCGCGCAAGAGCGTCGTAGACGTCGAAGTCGACGAGGACGACGAGCGCACGGACGATAATCCCGATGCGGCGGCGGCGGAGCCCGTCGTGCCCGCCCGAAGTCCGAGTCCCGGTCCTGCGCCGCCCCGGCCCGAGCCTCCGCAAGCACACACGCAGGCTGAGGCGGGCGGCAGTGGTAGTGCGGGTAGAGAAGGACGTGGGGAAGGGAGGGGGGAGGAGGAGGTGCAGCCGATGGGCGGCCCGTTGCCGCCCGCTGGGACACTCGTCGTTGTGCAGGGCGTCGTGCACACCACGGACGTATCCGCCTCTTCAAACCCACCGCCTCCGCCCGTACCGCCGCCGCCGTTCACCTCTCAAGCCCCGACAACGACATCAACTACCACGCCACCGAACGCCGAAGCAGGAGATACAAGCGCGGGCGAAAGGGGGCGCAACGACGACGGACCGGGCCGGATGCCAACGCTCAGCGCGACGAGTATAGACGTGCTCGGTACACTGCTCAGGTAAGATCTCTCCTTCCATTCCTTTCTCTATGATATCGGCCTTGTTCGTTGTCTCTTGTCGCCGGTGTCTCGTCTGCACAGGCGTGGGATACTAGTCCCTGCGTAGGTCCACATGGGTCCTATCTTCCGCGCCTATCCCCATCCATCCCCCCGTGCCCCGTGCGAGCGTGAGCTCAATCAAGTGAGTGCATCGAGGCTGGGGAAGCAGGGATGGGCCGGTCCAGGGACCGGACGCTCGCGTCGTCGTAATTACGACGCAGGCTTACATGGGCCGCTCGCTCCGTCATGCGCGCGGCGTGTATATGTTATAAGCCCGACGCGTATCGGTGTACCGCGACCGGCGATTGTGCCGCTGGGGACTGCTTATACGCTATTCCTGCGTCTGTGGGTCGGGTGCTCGTACGGGGATCCGTGTCGAGCGCTCTGTTATAATCGTTGCTTCCTGCACACGCATTGCTACTTTCACTTCTATTTTGGATATTGGATACTGGATACTGGATTCTCGTGGATCATCTTTTGTGCATAATCGGTCATGGCGCTCCCGTTCCTCTCAGACTCGAACCCGCGCATCCATCTCCGGACACCGCGCTCACTGTTCGGTTACAGCGTCGCAACCGCCGCCACGGCCGCCTCGCTCGTCACGGGCTCCAGCGCGCCGCTGTTCTCCTCCGGGCTCGAGCCCGCCTCTTCCTCAACAACCTCCACCTCCACCTCTTCACCTTCCTCGTCCTCTTCGCCAGGGTCGAGCTCAACGGCTACATCGAGCTCGAACGCGGACGGAGGCTCGAACGCAGCAGACGCCGGATCAAGCACAGGGACGACGCCGATCAGCAGACCGCCACTATCCCCCGAACACGAGCGCATGCGCAGCGCGTGGGGCAGCATCCGCGACCGCTTCGGCCTCGGGCGCCCCGCCTCGCCCTCCTCTCCCTCTTCTCCCTCACCACCATCCTCCTCCTCACCCAATTCCTCCTCGCCCACCTCGACCTCTGCGCATGGAGCGGGAGAAGGAATGGGCGCGGGTGGGGATGGGGATGAAGATGCCAGGACACAGCTGCTCGCCGAGATGGCAAGGGCGTTTCATCTGGGCATGGGGCTCGACGAGCCGGCTGGGGCGAGCCTGCGCGCGCCGCCTGCGCACCCTTCCTCTCCCTCCACCTCTCCTTCCTCATCACCGTCCGACCCGTCCTCGGCGCCGGCGGACCCGCTCTCTACGCAGCCGCAAGCGATGCCGAACGAGGAGCCGGCGGAAGGCTCATTCGAGCGGTTCTTGTTGGACCTGCAGACCGATCTGCGCCGTACACTCGGCGGTCCACAGTCCTCCGACGCCGTCACAGCAGGATATGGAGGAAGTGGCGGGAATGGGGCAGGAGGAGGAGGGAGCGGAGGAGTTGGCGCAAGTGCAGGAGGAGGGGCAGGAGGAGGAAATGGAGGAGGGGTGAGACGCACGCCCACGCCGCCGCCCGCGCGGCATATACCGGGTCCGAGCGCCGAGAGCGAGGACGAGGTCCACAGCCGGCGCGCGCGGGGTGAGGTGTCGAGGCCGTCGACGTCGGATGCGCGGCCTGCGACGGGTCAGGAACGGGTTGATGAGGAGGGTGAGGGTGAAGCGGACAGGGAGGGAGAGGGCGATATGAACAGGGAAGGAGGAGAAGGAGACGTGGAGAGGGAGGGAGACGCAGACAGAGACGTGCTGGACCTCGTCGGCGACGCGGGCGTGGGGAGGCGGGAGAGGCAGAGGGCCGATACGCCGCACCCCGGCGCGCGCGTCGTCGTGCCGGACGTGGCGTCGAGCGATGGGCATACGGATGTCGGCCATCCCGCTTCTGCCCCCGACCTCCATCCCGGTCATACGCCCGAGTCGAGCGGGCACACGCACGACTCGACTCGAGCACTGGAGTTGAGGGATGGACTGGAGTCGAGCGCCGCCGAGCACGACGACGACGACGGCGAAGTGCGCTTCGCGGAGGACGGCCCGATATACCCGCACGTCGACTTGGGCAGAGCGCACGACCAGCCGCGCTCGCGGACGCCTGTGAGTCGGGCTGGGACGCCGAGGGTCGATCATGCGCATTTGCATCCGCACTCGCATCTGTATTCTTCCCCGCATGCGCATACGAATGCGCATACGAATATGAATGACCACTCGAACGCGCACGAGCACGCGCACGCACACGGCCCGTCGCCGCTACACACAGCCCCTCCCGGCGCGGGCGCGGGCATCGATCTCGGTATGGGCATGGGCATGGGTATGGGAGCGGGAGGAGGGCAGGCGCGGGGGATCAATTGGTGGAGGATGTATCGGTTCCCGCCTATGCGTGTGCCTGCTACTTCTCCTTCTCCATCACCCTCTCCAGCGACGACGGCGGAGGGTGGGGCAGAGGGAGGTGGGGGTGTACCTGCGACGCCGCCGTCTGAGGCGACTGCTGCGACGAGCGATGCGGAGGGAGAGGAGAGGGTCGGGGCGGGTGAGATGGGTTTTGATACGCGTCCCCGAACCGAGCAGGACGGGGAAGGAGAAGAGGGAGATGGGGAGAGTGGGGAGGGAGACGAGCCGCCCCCGCTCGTCGATCTCGAAGCAGAAGAATCAACACCCCGCGATCGCGCGCCTACGCCGTACCCCACATCGACCCTCCCTCCACCGCCCACCTCTCCCCACACCACCACGCCAACGGAATCCGACGCAGCAGGCGAGACGAGCGTCGTCGTGCCCGTCATCGTCGTCGGACTGCAGAGTGTACATGGACACAGTCATCGGCCGCCGCCGTCGCCTTCTTCGCCTTTATCCCCCTCTTCACCTTCTGCTGCGAATGGTGTGGGTAGTGGAGGGGGAGCGGCGGGGAGAGCGTCGAGGCAGTCCAGACGCGCATCGAGTATTTGGCCCACGACGCCCGCTGGAGCGAGTGGCGGGGACGAGGGGTGGAGGGCGAGGGCTGCGGATGCGTTTAGAGGGTTTAGGAGACGCGGAGAGCAGGCTTCGACCACGGATGGCTCGGGTGCAGGTGCGGGTGAGGCGAGCGCGAGTGCAGGTGCGGACGGCGGAGAGACGGCGAATGGGAACGGCAGCACGACGTTCTTCATCTACGTTATCGGCGGTACGCCCCCCTCCCCCTCCTCTCCCTTTCTCATCCCAAACTGACACATCTCATCACACAGGCTACTACCCGCCCTCGCACCCGCTCGTAACCGGCGCCCCGAACGCCGCGCTCGACTCGTTCGAGGCGCTCTGGGAGCTCGCGGACCTGCTCGGACCCGCGAAGCCGCCGACCGCGACGCGGGAGGATATCGCGCGGGCCGGGCTGCGGGTCGTGAAGCCGGACGCGATGAGGGGGATGGCGCGCGAGGGGCGGGTCGTTGAGGCTTGTGTCGAGCGCGTGCGTTTTCTCGTTTGTTTGTGATGAAATGCGAGATGCTGATTGGATTTTGTGTTTGGATAGTGTTTGATTTGTTTGGAGGATTATGCGGACGACGACGACCTGCGCCTGCTCGGGTGCAGACATATCTTCCATAAGGCGTGCGTGGACACGTGGCTCGAGACGGGGAGGAATAATTGTCCGGCGTGTAGAGCGCAGGGGGTGCAGAGGGCTGTTGATGAACCTGTTGCTGGCGCTGCTGCTTAGATGTTCGTATTCTCGTGCTGTACGCCCGAGTGTGCTTCAGTCACTCTTCTTTCGAATTGACTCTCTCGCGCGTCGTCTGCTCGTTATAAGGTCGCTCGTCTCAAGTTCGTTTCGCTCGCTGTGTAGTACCGAATCCCTATTCCTCACCTCCATCCTCTACCTTTACCTCTACGTCGTTAAGACCCCCGAAGTCCAACCTCGCATTCCCCGCGTCATACACTCCCGTCCCACATCCCTCATTCCCTCCGCATGTCTATGAAGGCTCATGTTTCGTTCCATCTCGCAATCGCAATCGCAATCGGACTCTCTGCTCGCTCGATATACGCACTTTCTCTGTTACTTTATGCTCATTCTCGGGTTTGATACGTACAATCGCAATCGTCTTTCTCCCAGAGATACACTAGCCGTCTGTCTAGTGGTTGCTGCGAGGGCAGGTTGCGGTTAGGCTGCGTAAAATATGGTCAGCTCTCGGGGGTCGGACCAATGACCGGATCAGATGGCCCCGAAGTCGACGCGTCGAGTTATCGACGCTTTCCTCTTACCACCACTGTTGCTCGCTAGCGCGCTCGCTACTACAATACAAGATAGTATACCGTAATGCGATGCGTATACACGAGAGAAGTTTAAATAAGCACTACACTATCAGCTCGTTCTCGCGTATGCCTACACCCCGAAATGCACAAACGGCGCCCACCTCACAAAGTTGCGCTCGCCGACATGCTCCCTCAAGACCCTCACCGCCTCGTGAAGCGCGTACGCGGCGCCCGTATACCCATCTGAGGTGGCGCTTGTGCCGCGAAGCTCAAGAAGCTTCTTGTAATACGCCTCTACGACGATAGGCGCGTCCGCGTCGCCGATCGACCACATCGTCGCGATAACACCTTTGAACCCAACCGCGAGCATCCCCGCCGCAAGATGCGCCGACTCCTCCGGCACCTTCTCATCGCCGACCGCGGTCTGACAGGCGGACAGGAACGCGAACTCCGCGTTCTCTGCCACTTCGCTCATCAATGTTGATAGAGTGAGCGGCCCGTCGATCAGCGCGAACGCGCTCTGCGTGGGATCCTTTGGGTCTTGGAAACCGTGGCAGGCGAGATGGACCCAGGTGTTGCTGCGCATCTCGGAGATGGCGCGGTCTACAGTTGCGTCTTTGTCGTTCAAGAGGGTGATTGTGGGCGCAGGTAGAACTGCGCTGATACGCGCATGCTCGTGTTGTGTGCCAGGTAACGGCGAATGGTTGGGAGTGGCCGGTTGACAGATCACGAGCGTTTCGGGAGTGGACGATTCCGCTCTCGCACTCTCGCGCGTACGTAGGAGAGCAGAAAGCGATGGGATGTAGGACGAGACTACGAAGTCGAAGGCGCGCTGCGGCTTTGCATCGCGCGAAGCATCCGGGGCGTACACGCCGGCGGCGTGAAGCGGTAGCTGCATCAGCGGCCCTGTAGGGCACCAAGTGATGTGCGGCAATGGGCGTCCTGTAGCGTTGGTGCTCCCCATCTTCGTGTATACCGGTCAGTATCCTCGAATGAATGTACAGGAATAAGCGCAACTCACGAGGTCTAGATCTTGCAGAACTGGACACACGAGCCAAAGCCAGAGCTTATGTAGCACACGCTCCAACAATGTACTGTGACGATCACCCGCCCTCGCGTGCCAGGGCATCACTGCAGCGCGCGTGCGCACATGGGCCGATTGTAGCATCCGTGTCCAGGCAGAGCGCAGGCTATCCGCCCTGGTCGCAGTCAGCCCGGGAAGAGGTATATGTCTGACGTCGCCACTCGGGAGTAGAGCCAGGGCGTCGCACGAAGTCGAGTGCACGTTGATGAATACAACCGGTCCGTGAAGTCGTTTGATGGAGGGCATGCTTCCGGTGACGCTCAGTGGACACAGGAAGTCCTCGAAGCCCTCTTGCTCTCGAATCCTCTTCAGTATATCGTCATAACGTGCCGCAAGCTTTCGGTGTTTGTCTGCCGCAGTCTCAACAGTCATGCTTGAAAAGGCTGTCCCGTTTATATCCATGTTGTCGCTAGGGCCATGAACGTCCGGAAACGTACGCTGCACTCCGTTTCTTGTGCTCTGCAACGCCATCGAGACTTCACGAAGTTCTCTCACCAATCCGGAACGTTTTCCGCTCAACGCAATCAAGGGATCGCGTAGAGTAGTGATTTGCGACCAAACGAGAGACCTCCCGACTTCCATCCATTCGATTGCTTCGGTAGCAGAGTGTGACCGAACCAACACGGCTATAGCACCATTCACGACATCCCTTATCTTCGCGGACTCTCCGTAGCGGCGTTTGATGCTGTGCCCAAGCCATACGAGTTCGGGGATGATCTCCTTGATCCGTGTGTACACCTCAAGCAACAGTTCGTCGGAGCTGAAGTCAGGGTATTCGGACAGGAGCGATAGACATTGTAGTGCAGCGTCAAACCGTCTGGACGGGTTCCCCGAGACGGTCATCGCTTTCAGAAAGCATCCGAAGGCAGCCATAAAATCGTCTTGATTGACTTTCCTATGTGTCTGCGAGTACTTGGACGTCTGTTCCAGTGATACCTTCATCGACTGACCGATATCATACAGTCGGTCGACCAAGTCCGGATGGCCCTCGGGGGTGAGAGCAAGGACTAGGGTCTCAATGGCATTGGATTCGTCAAGATCTTTGCGCTCTGCGAGATGCCAGTGGCGAGCACGCAGAGTGACAGCGAGCACTCTAAGCCGTTCAGGCCGCGTGGGATGGTCTGCGGGTGTGAGATCAAGAACTAGCCTTTGCGCGCTGATGGCGTCCTCAAGATCCTTCAGGTCCTTGCCGAGACGCATGTAGCGGACGTACAGAGAGTTGGCGAGTACTGCAAGCCGATCGGGTCGCTCGGAATGGTTGTCAGGCGTGAGGCTCAGTGCCAGTTGCTGTGTGGCGATGGCAGCTTCGAGGTCGTCTAGCTTATCCAGCCGACTGAACCGGTTGCGCAGGAAGATAGCAAGTTCCGTGAGCCGCTTCGGCCGCTTGTAATGGTCCTCTGGTGTTCTATCAAGAACAGTTCTTTGTGCGGCGACGGCGTCCTCGAGATCTTCAAGCTCGTCGAGACGCAGGAAGCGAGTGTACAAAGACACGGCGAGGTCTCCGACCCGATCGGGCCAGTCCGGATGATCTTCGGGAGTGAGAGAAAGAATCATTCTCTGTGTATCGATTACCTCTTCAAGGTCTTTCAGCTCCTCGAGACGGTTGAACCGAGCGTGTAGACTCCTGGAGAGGTCTCTAAGCCGAACAAGTCGCTCGACATGGTCCTCAGGTGTAAGCTCGAGAATCAGCCTTTGAGCGGCGATGGCATCTTCGAGATCCTTCAGATCGCCGCAGCGTACAAAGCGAGCGTGCAGGGAGACCGCCAAGTCTCTGAGCCGATCGTGACGCTCATGATGGTCATCGGGTGTGAGTTCAAGTACCAGCATCCGTGCGGCTATACTATCCTCGAGGTCGTTCGTCTCCGCTAAACGTTGGAAGCGGGTGAGGAGAGAGGTGGCGAGCTCTCTTAACCGATCGGGGCGCTTCGAGTGGTCGTCGGGTGTGAGCTCTAGCGCCAGTCTCTGGGTGGTAATGGCGTCCTCGAGGTCTTTGATCTCGCCAAGACGGGTGAAGCGAGCATGTAGAGACCCTGCGAGCGTTCCCAACCGCTCGGGCCGCCCCGAATGATCCTCTGGCGTGCGCTCGAGAGCGAGCCTCTCTCTACTAATCGCATCTTCAAGGTCCTGAAGCTCGCCGAGACGTTGGAAGCGGGCGTGCAGAAAGATGGCGAGGTCTCTGAGCTGCTCGGGCCATTCGGGATGGTCCTTGGGCGTGAGATCAAGAACGTCTCTTTGTGCGGTGATGGCATCTTCAAGATCCTTCAACTCCCCAAGACGTTGGAAGCGAGTGTGTAGAGAGCTTGCGAGGCCTCCGAGCCGATCGCGTCGCTCAGAATGGCGCTCGGGGGTGAGATCGAGGACCAGTCTCTGCGCGGAGATGGCATCATCTAGATCTTTCAGCTCGCCGAGATGGCCGAAGCGGGCGTGTAGAGAGACGGCGAGATTGCCCAGTCTTTCGGGCCGCTCGGCCTGGTCATCGAGCGTAAGATCAAGAGCCAGTTTGTGCGCAGCAATGGTATCTTCGAGATCCTTTAGTTCTCCCAAACGTTCATAACGGTTGTACAAGGAGACAGCGAGCTCCCCGAGCCGTTCGGGTCGCTCGGAATCGTCGGCGGGCGTGAGATCAAGCACTACTCGTTGTGCGGCAATGGCATCTTCGAGATCTTGCAGCTCGCCGAGGCGCACGAAGCGGCTACACAGAGAGATGGCGAGGTTCCCGAGTCGTTCGGGCCACTCGCTATGATCTTCAGGCGTGAGCTCGAGAGCGAGCGTTTCTGCAGTGATCGCTTCCTCGACGTCTCGAAGCTCGCCGAGCCGTTCGAAGCGAGTGTGCAAGGAGATGGCCAGGTTCCCCAGTCGCTCGGGCATCTCGAGGTCATCGTCGGGGGTGAGTCCAAGGGCATGTTTCTCCAAGATGATGGCGTCCCTTAGGTTGTCGAGCTTGTCGCGTCGCTCGAAGCGGAACCAAAACCGTACCGCGACTTCGCGAAGCCGTTCAGTCCTCTTCGAAGTATCGTCGGGTAGATCGACGATGCGCTTCATGACAGTGTTCAGGCGCTCGATATCCTTATCTTCGAGTTGTGCCATCTGGCGCAGGAAGCGTTTTCGCTGGTCGATCGACATACGACGTCGTGTGATAGGGGAGCGTCCCTGCATAGTACGTGCGTGTGTGTGATTTTGGTTTGCATCTTCTAGGTGTCTGGCTTGTGGCGAGTCCTGTGCATCCTCATCAGTTATGCCGCCGCCTATGCCACGATGCTCACTCGCCATAGCATAGTTCCTGAACGTTCTGGTGTGCGGCAGAGAGAAGTCAAGAGGAGCAACGTCCGTTTATCGCCGGACTTGATCTTATAGGATGAGGCAAGGCTTTGCCGGTGATCTCGGCGCATCTTCAGGCCTCAGGTAAGAAATAAGGGGAGACGCGTGCGTCGTAGATGCGCATGTCATTGCATTCACAATACGAACTTCAATTCAAGCTGCCCTTCTGATAGAAGGCTTCTGATGGGTGTGAATGTGGCATGGACTGCACAACGTACACAATTACTGCGAGATGGACGTCGAAGACAAGTTGAGCAAGCCTGACGTCGCGATCGCAGCGTTGACGCGTGCGACCTGGTTCCTACTGTCATCATGACTTCGTCTCGTATGTACATCTCACGGAGCGCGGAAGGGGTATCCGCTTCTTCGCCTACATCGCCTCCCTCGCCGTCATCCTAGCCGCAAGGTTCAAACCAAGAGGAAAGCAAGGGCGTAGAGTGGGATGAGGAGGCGCACGCGAGAGCTCGTGCTTCATTTCTTGCAGATATGACTTCAGCAGTACGTTGTATCGTTCTTTTGTTTGCGTCAGAGGTATCGTAGTACTAATAGTCATTTGTAGGCTAGATTAGCGCACCATTATACTCTGCCGCAACAACGAGTATAACTGCCGCACATCTCATACCTGCTACCGGCAGCCGCACGCCGACCTGGCGCGAGCTTATTCGTACTCGACAGCTGTTATCTACTCCCGTTGCATCAGATTTTGACCGGATTCATCGCTCCAACATGGTTGTGCGAGGACTGTGTGCGCCGTCTGCACATTCTCGCAGTTCTCCATCTCTCTGTGGTCCATCCTCGTCGACACGGGCCTATCAGCCAGCCACCGATATCATTCGGAAGACTAATGAATACACCGTGGACGCCTTTCTCCGGCACGCTGCTCGCAAACGCTGAGTGGGCTTCAAGTTGTGGGAGTCGTGGGAACCGACGGGCGCGCATAGAGCTTGAGGAGAACCAAGGGGAGGCCCAACAGGATGTGGGGGATCTTGTTGGATGCAAGGGAGACCGAACGCGCACTCACCTCGGCCTGCCAGTCGGCGCCATGCGTGTTGTAGCAGCGAGCGATACTCAGGAGGGTGTTAGCTGTCCTCTACATTCGACTATCCCGTCCAGTACCCGCGCGAATTCAGCGGTATCGCCCACCCGCCACCTACGGACGTGAGGATGGAAACGAAGGCGGAGAAGACGGCAGAGCACGCTTTGCAGAGACATGTAGAGCGCATGGGTTGCCACGCCTGCGTACGGCTGTTCGTTGGTCGACTCATCCCGTCCTGACTATCGTCATTCACCCTCCAACCATATGGCCATACGCGTGTGCGCGCGGACCGCCAGCTTTATATTAGGGGGTACACGCCCGGGAGCAGGAGGAGCGACACAGGCGAGAGGGAACTTGTGGAAGGCGTATCGCCTCCCGCCCATATGCAGACCCAGGTCTCACATCTTCAGCCGGAGGCGTTCCAGTCACGTCGCTCTCTAACGTTACTGCCGTTGCCACGAGTTCGGGGTGGCAACGATGTTCATGGGTGGTCGGGAGCGGAGGAGCCGGGTTCAACGATCATGCGACGATGGGGAGGAGGGCGACGGAAACGAGCAGTCTTTACTGCTACGGCAATTCAGGAGGCCGTCGAATCCCGGCCTATCTTCGTTTGTCTAGAAGAGGCGATGAAAACGGTCTCGCACACGACAGGCGAACCTCCACGGCCCGCAAGACGACACGCAATTGCACGTAGGGCCCAGCCTTCAGGACGTAGGCTCTGCCAAACCTGAGCTTGAACACTCGCCTGTCTCGCTCGCTGTGTAGTACAAGTTCTCATGTTTGCCTCTCAGAATGCCCCATAACATCGGCCATTTGCATTATCCTTGCTCGCGTGTCCATAGCAATAATTTCATTCACTATAATCACAACTGAACTACATATTCGCTTGATCGTCTGCTTGGTACACAGCCTCTGGCTCTAGGCTGGTGACCGATGAGTACGATAAGACCGCTGTTCTCGTAGTCTGACTCTCGAGGAAGTGCCGCGCGCATGTACAGGTCTTACCACTCACTCTTAATATTACGGCCGGAAGACCACAATATATGCCCGATCGGACCGGAAAGCGGCACGGCCGAGGGCCGGCCTGGTCCGGCACATTGATGCTTTGCTCAGACCATCATCACCAGCCCGTTACAAACTCAATATACTTCTGCTCTGGCCACATGAATACAAACGATACAAGATTCTGGCATACGCCGGAAGACATAGTGAACGCGAGGGAGACTATACAAGAGTCATAGTCCCACGCACGGGCGGCGGCACGTACTGGTAGTCCAAAGCCGTTCGTCAACCCAAATAACTCGACGCCGCTTGCGCTGAAAGTTCTAAGCCTTCGGAGCACCCCTGGAAAACGGCCCTGGATCACTTCCTACTCCACCTACACCCCGAAATGCACGAAGGGAGCCCATCTCACAAAGTTCCGCTCACCGACGTGCTCTCTCAAGACCCGCGCCGCCTCGTGCAGCGCGTATGCTGCACTCGTGCATCCCTTCGCGACAGCGCCCGTTCTCCGGAGCTCTAGGAGCTTCTTGTAGTACGCCTCGACGATGATTGGCGCGTCCCTGTCCTCGATCGACCACATCGTCGCCACGACACCTTTGAATCCGACAGCAAGCATACCCGCCGCGAGATGCATCGACTCCTCAGGATTGTTCTCGTCCCCGACCGCGGTCTGGCAAGCAGAAAGGAAGGCAAGCTCGGCGTCTTTCGCTGTTGTCCCCATCAACTTCAACAATGTCAGCGGCCCATCGTCGAGTGCGAAAGCACTTTGAAGCGGATCCTTCGCCCTCTGATAGCCGTGGCAGGCAAAGTGAACCCAGGAGTGACTGCGCATCTCGGTGACGGTACGCTCTACAGTCCCATCTGCCCCGATCAATGCAGTAGGCTCAGACCCAGACAGGACTGCTCCCAGCCGCTCATGTTCGTGACGTGTGTGAGGGAGAGATGTGTGATACGGAGTTTCAGGTTGTGCGACGACCAGAACTTTGGGCTCGTCGTTCGACGCTGTGCTCAGATCCTTTCGAGAGCGCAAGAGAGCAGAAAGGGAAGGGGTGTAGGTAGATACGACATAGTCGAAGGCGCGTTGTGATCTCGTAGGATGCGTCGGGTCGTAGACCCCAGCGGCGTGAAGTGGCAACTGAGTAACAGGCCCAGTAGGACACCAAGTGATATGCGGCAGGTGACCTTCCGAAGGTCTGTCCATCTATATTGATGGTTGTCAGCTCGCTCAGAGAGATTTCCAGAGATCACACGCACAAAGTTCAAGGCTTGAAGGACGGGTCGCACGATCCAGGTCCATATCTTCCATAGGACGATCTCGAAGATATTCGCACGTCCGAGCGAGAGAAGTCCATCCACCGAAATGACTCCACGCACGGTGCGCGACTGAAGGACTTTGCCCCATGCAGAACGCAAGTTGCGAGCGCCATCAACGGTCAGACCGGGAAGTGGTACGTGTCTGACGGAACCAGTTGGGGAAAGCGCTAACGCATCACACGCAGTGTGTACGTTGATGAAGACGACTGGCCCGTCTAGACCCTCGATGTCTGACATACGGCTGATGAGGCTCGGGGAACGCAAGAAGTTCTGGAAACCATCCTTCCTCCTTACTTCCTTCAATAGATCGTCGTATTGAATCGCGAGCGCTCGATGATTGTCTTCCGCAGTAACAGCAGTGATATTTGTCCAAATCGCATTGTTGATGCTATGCAATGCGTTCGCCGCGTCGTGCATCTGACTATCCGAGCCATGGGGATTGCGCGATGTTGAACGAGACTCGTTCGTCGAGTGCTGAAGCTCCAATGAAACCTTCTCGAGATCCGCTGCCAGTCGCGGGTGCTTCTCCTTCAGTGCGTCAAGAGGCTCGCGCAAGGATAGCAGTTGTGACCAGACGAGTGACCTGCCGATTTCCATCCACTCTATGGCCTGGTATCTCGAGCGGGACTCAATGAATGCAGCGACGGCAGCGTTCACCATGTTTCCCAATCTAGCAGACTCCTCCAGTCGGCGGTCGATTCCATGACCCAGCCACACGATCTCAGGAAAGATTCGAATGATATGCGCATGCGCATCAAGTAATGACTCCGTCGAACCAAATTCGGGGTACTCGGATAAGAGGGATATGCATTCAAGTGCAGAATCCAAGCGTATTGACGGCGGTCCCAGCGAAAGTGATGTTGCCTTCATGAAATATACCAAGGCAGAGTCAAAGTTCACCTTGCTTTGCATTCGTATGAAGCGGAGCTTTAGGGCAAGGCCCGTATCGTACAATCGTTTGACACTGTCTAGGTGACCCTCAGGTGTGAGGCCGAGAACCAGTTCGTTTGCAGCGATGGCGTCTTCGACGTCCTTCAGCTCGCCGAGACGTTCGAAGCGGGTCTTCAGAGATATGGCGAGGTCTCTGAGCCGTTCAGCCCGCTTCGCATGATCCTCGGGCGTGAGATCGAGAACGAGTCTGTGTGCGACGATAGCGTCCTCGAGGTCCTTCAGCTCCCCGAGACGTTTGTATCGGGTATGTAGAGAGATGGCGAGGCTCCTGAGCCGTTTAGGCCGCCTGGAATGGTCCTCGGGCGTGAGGTCGAGGACCAGCCTGTTTGTGGCGATGGTGTCCTCGAGGTCCTTCAGCCCACCGAGACGTTCGTATCGGGTATGTAGAGAGATGGCGAGGCCTCCGAGCCGTTCAGGCCGCTCGGAATGATCCTCGGGCGTGAGGTCGAGGACCAGTCTCTCTGTGGCGATTGTGTTCTCCAGATCCTTAAGCTCGCCGAGACGTCCGTATCGGGTATGCAGAGAGATGGCAAGGCTCCTGAGCCGCTCAGGCCGCTCGGAATGATTCTCGGGCGTGAGATCGAGGACGAGTCTGTGTGCGGCGATTGCATCCTCGAGGTCCCCCAGCTCGCCGAGACGTTTGTATCGGGTATGCAGAGAGATGGCGAGGGCTCTGAGCCGTCGAGGCCGCTCGGAATGATTCTCGGGCGTGAGATCGAGAACGAGTCTGTGTGCGGCGATTGCGTCCTCGAGGTTCTTCAGTTCGCCGAGACGTTCGAAGCGCGTCTTCAGAGAGATGGCGAGGCCTCTGAGTCGTTCAGGCCGCTCGGAATGATCCTCGGGCGTGAGGTCGAGGACCAGTCTCTCTGTGGTGATTGTGTTCTCCAGATCCTTAAGCTCGCCGAGACGTTCGTATCGGGTATGCAGAGAGATGGCGAGGCTCCTGAGCCGTTCAGGCCGCTTGGCATGGTCTTCGGGCGTGAGATCAAGGACCAGTCTGTGTGCAGCGATGGCATTCTCGAGGTCTCTCAGGTCTCCGAGACGTAGAAAGCGGGTTTTCTGAGATATGGCGAGGTTTCTGAGCCGCTCAGGCCGCTCGGAATGATCCTCGGGCGTGAGATCAAGGACCAGTCTTTTGGTGGCGATCGCGTCCTCGAGGTCCTTCAGCTCGCCGAGACGTTCGTATCGGGTATGCAGAGATATGGCGAGATTTCTGAGCCGTTCAGGCCACTCAGTATGATCTTCGGGTGTGAGTCCGAGCACACGCTTTTCTAGAATGATGGCATCCTGTAGGTCCTCCAGTCGACCAAACCGACCAAACTGAGACCACAGAGAAGTCGCGAACTGTATCAGCCTCAGCACAACGCGCTCTGACGCTCCCTTCGAGGGAAGTTCAGCAATACGTCCACGAATTACTACCAGGCGCTCCATATCCCTATGCTCAAGTTTCGCTATCTGGCGCACAAAGCGCGCCTGTGCGAACCGGTTCAAATCATGAAGTAGTTCGAGTCTCCGAGGATGATCCTCATGCAACAGGTCTACAGCCCGTTGCTGCGCATCCATGGCGCGCTCAATGTGCTCTATCTCCTTCGAACGAGTGAACAGAGCGAACGCAGACTTTCCCGAATCGATGAGTTGCAGAACCTCATCGGCGAGTCTCGCATCATGGTTTGAAAGAGCGAGAGGTTCCTCGTGAGAATCGACCGCGCCGTCGGCCGGATAAATGGCTGAAGGAATGCTCTGCAAAGCCCCCGTCAGATATCGCTTTGTATACGGCGCATATTACTCACAGTGGAGTAGGGACGGGAACATACGGAGGGAGAGAGAGATGGGGAGAGGGGCACGGGGGCAGGTAGACTGGTATATAGTGTACCAGAGCTAGAGTTACCGGAGCCTACGCGCGCGCGGCAGCGACGCGGATATCTCGTCTCGGATAACGACGATGCGACCTCCTCAGGGTCTTCCCCACGCTTTCTCTTGCGGCCTAGAGCTTTTCCAGCAGTATCGGGCATAGTAAAGTCTGCCGGGAGTCGAAGGGGAGAGATAAGAAGGGTGCGAGAGGGAAGATGCCTTCATGGCCGTGGCAATCTTTATACAGGTGCAAGGCAGCGCATAATTTCATCGCTAGAAGCCATGCGGGAACGAGACGAGGAGGGCATGTCGTGTAGACGCGCATGGCATAGCCTTGATGAGAGCAGGCGCCGGTTCTCGGGCAGTCACGTTAATGAATGCGCACCAGCAGCCGATCGCGACCAGTAGACACATCTGTTCAAAAAGGACAGATATCGCACGTTGGGGAGGAAAGTCGCCCTATGATTTGGACGAGGCAGGAGCTCATTGCGCTTATCATCGGTCTGCGGTCTGCATCTTCCCAGCGCGGGAGAAGCACCGTTGTAGGACCTCTACAGCGCAAGGAATGGAGCCGATTGCTGTTCTCTTCGTATGAACTCGCACGCACAGCCCTTGCTAATGGGGGGTACAGAACCGGAGAAGGCACACCGAATAACGCTGACAGAAGAATTCCTTCATGAGATACCGTATGTATAGGCTATTGTGTAGTATGTAGTAGGGCCAGCCGCCGGCGTCGTAGTAGTGGTTCAGACACAAGTGGCATTACGTGCGCCGCGGCAACATCAGTCGCGGCAGCGGCCGCGGGTACCGCGCCGGCATCGACGCGAGTTGTTCATGACCACGACGGCGATGTACTAGACTTGATGATGCTCCCCTCATGTTTCACTCCAACAAAGCTCTATCTCGACTTCGAGAACCTCTTCGTTCAAACCCCCTCAAGAGCGTAGTCATACCGACCTTCACCCACCGCAAATGGCGCGGGCGCTGGGAGAGCATCGAGCTATCTGGCCAACGACACCCTCTGCGACGAGTGGGGGTGGATGGGGATGAGGGTCGAAGGACGAGGGCTGTCGGTGCCTTGAGGGTGTTCGCATCGTAGCCCGTCAATCGCCCATAGATGACTCCCAAACCGCGGAATGGACGCAGCAACGCCCGCGGCCACCACTCGAGCTTTTGAGCTGTACCCGTCATCTTTGATCGGATGATCTACTTCGACATTCGCATACTCGCTGTATCTCGACGGACGAAGGGATATACACCGCTCTATCGCGCAGTCGCACAGACCTAGAACGATGTAGTTTACCGGTTGCGAGTACCCGTGCTGCTACTCGCTCTATCTGCCGCCGGAGGTCACCGGCTTGGCTGAGATAGGCTTTAATGTACGCTCGCAAGTTGGAGAGGGGGAAGACTACGGTCACGCCGCCGCCGCCGCCTGTCGTGAGAGCGCCAGCGCTCTCTTTCGCTCACGGCAACACTCCGAGCAACACGCTTGAGGGCTGAAACCCAGTCGTAGCTTTTGCAAGGACCAGGGCGGGCGGGCATCGGATCACTCAGGTATTTGAGCAGGAGTCTCGCCGCGTACTGGAAGACGAAGGACGCGCGTTAGAATACGAATCGACGTATTGAGCATACATACAATCTACGATAGCTTACAATGATGTATAACGTGGGATACGGGTATGAAATGCCATGAAAGGAGTGTTATGTATAGTAGAGGAAGTGCATGCAAGAGGATTGGCAAGATCGACAACGTAGAATGGCGCATCGCGGTGTCCATCCCCGAGCGCCTAAGGAGAGGACCTGGAGAACGCCAGACGAACCCTCGCCAGCGAACGCTCGTCATCGTCGACAGATGTTCAAGCATCATTAGACGCGGAGCTGGGGACAGACGGGCGTGCGCCGGGCGGGGGGCCTGTGTCCGACTCCGATCTCCGTGGGAAGCGCAGAGGTGTCGTTTGGCGCCGGCGTCGAGGATAGCAGACTGGACATCCTACCACCCTCCTGGCCGTCCTTAGTACCATTTCCGTCGCCATCGTACTGCCCGGGTCCACTCCCAAAGCCTCCCGTCGAAACGCTCTGTCCCGCGTTTTTCGGCGTATTGGTGTGCTGGAATGGCACGGGAAGCCCGTCCAGACCGAGAGGGTCGAGAACGGAGCTGCCGCGAGACGGTGCAGGGGTCACCGGGGAAAAAAGGAGCGATCCGGAGGGCGAGAGAGGGCGAGAGGTGGTGATTGCGCGGTCGTGGTCCGGGGTGGAAGGCTGGTGGGGTGAAGACGTGTCGGCCATGTCGACAACGGGGAGTTGGTGCGCGCGAGAGTTGTAGTGATGTGACTTCGGCCAGATGTAAACTCAATAGCTGGAGTTCGTGAAGGTCTGGTGAGGCGGAGAAGGTGTGGTAGAGTACACTGGGGTGATATCAGACCGGCTGAAGAGGTAGAAAGCTTCGAGTGCTGACCTTTCCTCCTCCCAACGTATAGCACATTTTATACTTCTCCATAGAAACCATATCTCCTCTATACAGACCACAGGGTATGTTGCACAGTGGTCAACACCGGCGCTCGCTGTCCAGAAGACCACGGCTTCGCATAGCGTTGAGCGAGCGCTGACCCGAAGTCCTGAGTGCCGACGGATGCCGACTGGCTCTCCTGACGGCTTGGCAGCTGCGCATAGTGGTGATCATGGTCTGTAACACGACGTCGTGGTCCAGTGGTATTCGCAAGTGGCGGGTCGGTCGTGGTGGAAGGGAGTGAGCAGAAGGGCGGTCTGGGTCGGCTGCCGGATGAACGCGCCGAAAGCCGTTGAACGGGTTATTGCCTGATTGGGAACAAGGGACAGCAGAGTGCGTGCTGTGAGAGGGTATGCTGTGCACTTGATCCCAATGTCGTGCAAATGGGTGTACTCCAAGCGAGAAGAGGTGGAGAACGTGCAGGCTTGAGGTGTAGAGGCAGCGCCTCGCGCCTTTCGAGATTCGGGATGTTATATGGCAACTCAATCAGGATTCACTCATTGGCGTCGGTGCATCGCTCTACTCAGTAGACTGTCGAGTCGTACGCGGTCGAATGAGCGATATTCGGCAGGAGTGACTATTACATCAAGTCGGTGATGCGTTCTTCTCCACGTTGAAGGTTGTGCAGAGGAACTCCAACTAGGGGCGCCGTCCGTATATAGAGACATGAACCGCCCAGCCGCTCGAAAATATACTATCTGGATAGTAACATTGAGTACTGATGTGCATAGGGTATGTCTGGTACGGCCAACGTACCCTAAGCAGCCGCAATATATTGCCCAACGTTCACACATTCCCTTGCTCGTTTTCGCCGAAGCTAGTAGCACAGTTCGCCCGCCTTATTCTTTCCACTCCCGGCGTAAGTCAATGTGTCGCAAAATTCTGACATGGATCATGTAGTAGCGTAGGGATGAAGGACAGAAGCAAGTTCACCCGTGCGACTAGTCGCGCCCGCCCGTTGCCCGGCGGCCCGCGTCCTGGCTCTCACCATCACCGTAATGGAATCACTATTTACGACGCGCCGACAGCAGTGCGCTGTGCTTCAAATAAAATACCTATGTGGTGATGACCTCGACCTGGCCTAGACACCGAAGTGCACGAAAGGAGCCCATCTGACAAAGTTACCCTCGCCAACATGCTCTCTCAACACCCTCGTCGCCTCGTGCAGCGCGTATGCTGCACCCGTGTATCCCTTCGCGATAGCGCCCGCTTTCCGGAGCTCGAGGAGCTTCTTGTAGTACGCCTCGACGATGATGGGCGCGTCCCTATCCTCGATCGACCACATCGTTGCCACAACGCCTTTGACCCCGACAGCAAGCATACCCGCCGCGAGATGCATCGACTCCTCGGGATTGTTCTCGTCCCCGACCGCGGTCTGGCAAGCAGAAAGGAACGCAAGCTCGGCATCTTTCGCTGCTGTCCCCATCAACTGGGACAAAGTCAGCGGCCCATCGTCGAGCGCGAAAGCGCTCTGAAGCGGATCCTTCGCCCTTTGATAGCCATGGCAGGCAAAGTGCACCCATGGGTGGCTGCGCATCTCGGTGACGGTTCGCTCTACGGTCCCATCTGTTCCGATCAACGCAGTAGGCTCAGATCCAGACAGGACTGCTCTTAGTCGCTCGTATTCATCTCGTGTGTGAGGGAGTGGCATATACCCAGGAGTTTCTGGTTGTGCGATGGCCAGAATCTTGGGCTCCGTGTTAGATGCCATACTTGAGCTCTGCCGTGAGCGCAGGAGAGCAGCGAGAGATGGCGTATAGGATGAGACAACATAGTCGAAGACACGTTGTGATCTGGCAGGATGCGTCAGGTCGTAGACCCCTGCGGCGTGAAGTGGCAGCTGCGTTACGGACCCAGTGGGACACCAAGTGATGTGCGGCAAGAGCCCTTCGGAGGGTCTTTCAATCTACATTGATGTGTGTCAGCACGTTCAGTAACAGTATTCAGCTATCACACTCACGAAGTTCAAGGCTTGAAGAACAGGACGCACGATCCAGGTCCAGATCTTCCATAGCACAATCTCGAACACGTTCACACGTCCGTTTGAGAAAACTCTATCGACCGGAGTCATTGCACGCGTGCGCACGTTGGGCGACTGAAGATGCTTTGCCCATGCGGAACGCAAGTTACGAACCCCACCGGCGGTCAGGTCAGGAAGCGGAATATGTCTGACGGCGCCATTTGGGAAGAGCACCAATGCATCACACACAGTGTGTACGTTAATAAAGACGACTGGTCCGTCGAGACCCTCGATGATTGGCATACGGCTGATGAGGCTCGGAGGACGTAAGAAGTTCTGGAACCCTTCCTTCGCTCTTACATCTTTCAATAGGTGATCGTACTGAATCGCGAGCGTTCGGTGAGTGTCTTCCGACGTCGCAGTTACGATGTCCTTCCAAATTGTATGATCGGCGCCATGCAGTGTGTTCGCCGTATCATGCATCTGACTATCCGGGCCATAGGACCTGTGCGATGTTGGTCGAGACTCGTTCGTGGAGTTTTGTAACGCTAACGAAACCTTCTCGAGGTCCTCTGCGAGTCGTGGGTGCTTCTCCTTCAGTGCGTCAAGAGGCTCGCGCAATGATAATAGTTGCGACCAGACGAGTGACCTTCCAATCTCCATCCATTCTATGGCCTGGTATCTCGAGCGAGAGTCAACGAATGCAGCGACGGCAGCGTTCACCATATTCCCTAATCTAGCGGACTCCTCCAGACGTCGGTCGATTCCGTGACCAAGCCATACGATTTCTGGAAAGATTCGAATGATGTGCGCATGCGCATCGAGTAACGACTCCGTAGAACCGAAGTCAGGGTAGTCGGACAAGAGCTTTATGCATTCAAGTGCCGAATCCAAACGTATGGACGGCTTTCCTACCAACAATGTCGTTGCATCCATGAAGCACTCGAATGCGAGGTCAAAGTTTCGCTTGTTCTGGCTCTGTTGGAATCGAACCTTTAGGGAAAGGCCCAAAACATGTAGTCTGGTGGCTCTGTCTGGGTGGTCCTCAGGCGTGAGATCAAGAACGAGTCTGTTTGTGGCGATTGCGTCGTCGAGGTCCTTCAGCTCGCCAAGTCGTTGAAAGCGGGTGTGCAGAGAGATAGCAAGGTCTTTGAGCCGTTCAGACCGCTCGGAATCATCCTCGGGCGTGAGATCAAGGACCTGTCTGATTGCAGCGACGCTATCCTCGAGGTCCTTCAGCTCACCGAGATGGTGAAAGCGGGTGTGCAGAGAGATTGCGAGGTCTCTGAGCCGTTCAGGCCGCTCAGAATGGTCCTCGGGTGTGAGATCAAGGACCAGTCTTTCCGCGGCAATGGCGTCCTCGAGGTCATTTAGTTCGCCGAGACGTATGTAACGGGCATGCAGAGTGATGGCGAGGTCTCTGAGCCGTTCAGAACGCTCGGAATGATCCTGGGGTGTGAGTTCAAGGACCAATCTGTGTGCGGCAATGGCATCTTTGAGGTCCTTCAGACTAGCGAGGCGTTGAAAGCGTGTTTTCAGAGATATGGCGAGGTCTCTAAGCCGTTCAGGCCGCTGGGAATGATCCTCGGGCGTGAGATCAAGGACCAGTCTGTTTACGGCAATGGTGTCCTCAAGGTCCTTTAATTTTCCAAGACGTTCAGAGCGGATGTGCAGAGAGATGGCGAGGTCCCTGAGCCGTTCAGGCCGCTTGAAATGCTCCTCGGGTGTGAGATCAAGGACGAGTCTGTGTGCGGCGATGGCGTCCTCGAGGTCCTTCAGTTGTCCGAGACGTCGGAAGCGTGTTTTCAGAGAGATGGCGAGATTTCTGAGCCGTTCAGGCCACTCAGTATGACCCTCGGGCGTGAGTTCGACGATATGCTTCTCTAGGATGATGGCATCTTGAAGGTCCTCGAGCCTTCCAAACCGACCAAACTGAGACCACAGAGAGATCGCGAACTCTATCAGCCGTTCCAGGACTGGCTCTGACGTCCACTCCGAGGGGAGGTCAGCGATACGTCCTCGAATCACTATCAAGCGCTCCATATCCCCATCTCCAAGTGTCGTTATCAGGTGCACGAACCGTGCCTGTATAGACCGGTTCAGATCACGAAGCAGTTCGAGTCTCCGAGGATGATCCTCATGCAACAGGTCTACAGCCTGTCGCTGCGCATCTATGGCGCTCTTAATGTGTTCTATCTCATTCGAACGAGTGAACAGCGTGAACGCAGACTTCCCAGACTCGATGAGTTGCAGAACCTCGTAGGTGAGTTTCGCGTTCTGATCCAATTCGGATGCGTGGTCTAAGAAAGGAAGAGGGTTCGCGTGAGAGTCGTGCGCGCCGACGGCCGGAGGGACGGATGAAGAAATGTTCTGTATAGTTCATGTCAGGTATCGCTTTGTACGCGGCGGATTCAACCCACAGTATCAGCCATACAAAGTTCAACAGCGCGTCAAAGGGAAGGAGAAAAAAGAGTGCGAGAGGGAAGACGCCTTCATGGCCATGGCGATTCTTATTTAGGGCGGATGGCGGTGCATCGTTTCATCGCTATGTAGAAGGCATGTGGCAGCTCGACGAAGAAAGAACATGTTCTATCGATGCGCATGACATATCCTTGATAAGAGCAGTTCTCTGTTATTCACGGCGATGAATGCGCACCAGTAGCTAATCATTATACACAGCTGTTCGAAAGGGATAGCTATCGCACATTGTGGCTGACAGTCGCCCTATGATTCGGAGGGGTAGGAGCTGAATGCGCCTGTCGTCAGTCTGCATCTCCCCAAAGCGGAAGAAGCACTATTGCAGCACCTCTACAGTGCGAAGAATGGAGCTGGATGCCGTTCTCTTCGTATGGTCTCTCACGCACAGCCCTTGCTCAAGGGAAGTAGAGATCCGGAGAGGACAGACCAAACAGCGCTGGTATGACAATTCCGTGAAACACCATACACATAGGCTATCGTGGTGTATATGGTAGGCCCGCGTCAAACGCCCGATAGCAGTGGTTCGGAACTAAGCGGCACTACGCTACAACATCAGCCGCGGCAGCCGCCGCGCGCCCCGGCTTCTCGCACAGTGACCGCGCGCCCCTCGCTATGCAGCAACATCATTTCCCCCCATACGTGTAGCGCCATACACTCGCTGCTAGCTTGAGTCCCCGATTCTATCCACCTCGCCTCTATCGGTCTCGACAGAATCGAAACGAACAGGCACTCGGCGAAGCTCGGCGACCGCGATCGTGTCCCCCGCCTGCTGGCAAATGGGCGGTGCGGCCCTGGTCCGGTATGCGATGCGGAGCTAGTCGACGGCCCTGTGTCACAGCCTTGCCTACTCGCCACGAACTGGATAATATAGACGCCCCCAAAACGTGCTTAGTGGGCATGTATATCCGTATGCCGGGGTTGCGAAGTACAAGGACTGGATACGCCGAGGCTCGAGTGCGCTAGGGAGGAGTGGAGCGTACAAGCGTCGGCGGCAAGACGGGAGAGAGGCCCTACACAGTACGTCGTCCTAATTTATCTGGTGGTGAAAGAAGATTACTAAGCCCTCGTGCTGTGAAGGCTACATTCACCCTCTCTTTTGCTTACGGCGACACCTTCGAGCGACGCTCCTGACGACTGGGAACCACTCTCGTACATATTATTGAAACAAGCAGGGCGAGCGGAACCACTCAAGTCTTCGAGCAGGGATTTCGCCATTTACTGGAAGATGAGGGATAGGCGTTTACAATACGAATCGACGCATTGAGTGTGTATAGTAGGCCGTACAGTAGCTTACAATGTCGTATAATATGGGATGCGGGTATGAAATGCCATGGAAGGAATGTTATGTATAGTGTATGCACGGCCCCGCCTGCAAGATTGTCCATTTGCGCACCGACCCAATAGCGAATCTCGCATTCGGATACTCAACTGGTGAGTATAGCCGTCTAGAGTATTGACGAGGTCGGCGACGTAGGAGGGCGTATCACGGTGTTTATCCCCGAGAGCCTAAGGAGAGGATTTGGAGAACGCCGAAACAACCCTCGCCAGGGCACGCTCGTGCGCGTCGACGGTGGATTCAGCGCCAAATTCGTCTTCGGGCCCGGCGTAGTACAGCCCCTCGATGCCGGAGGGGCCTGCGCGAGAGCCTCCATCCTCTTCTTCCCCGGCATCTTGGTCGACCCTGACACCCTGTTCGTCCTCGGCATGTTGATCGACTTCGGCATCCGCTTCAGGGCTACCATCCTCGACAGAGCCGTCTCCTTGCTCGCTCTTACTGTGCGCCACGCCTGAGTTGCCGGTAGCGCCATGTTCTACTTCCCCATCCCCGCATCCCATTCCACCGCGCGTAACATCCGCATCATTCGCACCCTGCTCACTGATGTCCCCTGACGCGTCGTGATGGTCGTTCCCGGTGGAAGTGTTCGCCCTCACACCGTCGTCCTCCGTGGAAAGCGATGAGAGGGATGCATCGGTATCGAGGGAAGAAATAGAGAAAGACCCGAAGCTATGGACAGACGAAGGTGCGGTGGGCGGCGGTGTATGTCCGATGATCGTTGGAGGTGCAGAGGTGTTGTCGGACACCGGCGCCGTCGAGGATTGCTGGCTGGCTATGCTGCCAGCCTCCTGGTCATCATGAATGCCGTTCTCGATGTGACCGCCGTGTCCGGGTGTGCCTTCGGAGGTTCCCATTGGAACACCCTCTCCCGTCTCTTCTGGCACGCGGGCAAAGAGGAATGGTACGGGGAGCCCATCTAAACCCGGGAGAGAATCGAGAGCGGAGTCGCCGCGAGACTGCACACGAGTCACCGGTGCAAGAAGGATCGACCCAGAGATCGAGATCGAGGAAGGGGGAGAGGTATTGGATGCGTGGTCGTGGCCGGGGGTGGAAGGCTGGCGGGGTGAAGATGCGTCGGACATGTCGAGGACGGGCAGTTGGCGAGTACTGGAAGAGTCGCGATAGGGCTTCAGCCAAGTGTAACTTCAATAGTTGGAGTTCGTGTAGGTCTGGTGAGGCGTACAAGACGTGGCAGGGTACACTGGAGTGATATCAGACCGGCTGAAGAGGTAGAAGGCTTCGACTACTTACCTTTCCTCCTCCCAACGTATAGCACATTTTATACTCCGTCGTAAGAACCACAGCCCTACTGTACAGACCACAGGGTATATTTCACAGTGGTCAACACCAGCGCTCGCCGTCCAGAGGACCACAGCGTCACATAGCGTTGAGCGAGCGCTGACCCGAAGTCCTGAGTGCCGACGAATGCCGACTGGCTCCCCTGGCGGCTTGGCAGCTGCGCATGGTGGTGATCATGGTCTGTAACACGACGTCGTGGTCCAGTGGTCTTCACGAGTGGCGGATCGGTAATGGTGGAAAGGAGGGGGCGAAAAGGCGGTCTGGGTCGGCTGTCGGATGAACGCGCCGAAAGCCGTTGAAGGGGCTGTTTGCCTGATTGGGAACAAGGAACAGCAGAGCGCGCCCTGTGAGTGAGTATGCTGTGCAGTTGATTCCAAGGCCGTGCGAACAGGCGTATTCCGAGCGAGCAAAGGTGGAGAATATGCATATATGCGTTGTAGAGGCAACGGCCTGGCCCGACTCGGTGTTATACTTCGATGTCGCCGTTCATTCGTTTGCGTAGACACGTTATTTTACAGAGTAGACTGTTATTCGGATAAGACACGGTCGAAAGTGCGACATTCGGCAGGAGTGACTACTATATACATCGAGCCGACGATGCGCTCTTCTCCAGGGCGAATGTTGTTGAAAGGGCGTTTGTCCAAGAGCGCGGGGCGAATTCAGAAACACGAACGGTTCAGTTGTCCGAGACGATGCTAGCTAGATGAGATCATTGAGTACCGATGAACGTATGACATATCTGGTACGGCCATCGTACCCAGGGAGCCACAACATATTGCCCAACAACAACACATTCTCTCATGTGCTTTATCGCTGTGTCCAGTAGCACAGTCCGTCTTCATGGTAACTTGCGCTCCCAACGTAGGTCAATATAGTGTGACATCAGGACGTAGATCATGTAGTAGCGTCGAGGACATCAAGGACAGAGACAAGTTCGCACGTGGGACTCGCGGAGGTTCGCCGCGCCGCGCTCAAGACTTGCTCTTGCCCGCGATCTTCTGTTCGCCCATGATGCGCAAATGTAATACGTCTTGCAGACCGACTATGTGGACCCGGGCTCGCCCAGAGCCTTTGTCTGCAACTCCCTGAGCACAAGCATTGCTCGGATACTGATCTCGTTAACGCCTTAACACAGTAGACGTCTTCCTCTCTCGACCCCCGACTTCCTACAAGCCATCAAGCCTGTCTCGTCCGTTTTGGTCGCCACCCGGATGAACAATCGAGCTTATGCGAAGGCCAATCACTAAAATTCTCACCAATCGTCGCTACCGGTCAGCATCCCATCTCAAACCGACGATGGCTGCACTGTGCGAACGACGAACACGACAGTATAAACCCAGCCTTCGACGAGCTTGCCTGCGCACGGTGAGGTTGGCGATATGCATCGACGTCATGCGCCAAGTCTCCATCAGCTTGCGCTCGCATAGAAGCGAAGCTGTGTCACTGCGGCGGTCGAATTCGGTGTCCAGAGCCCGAGATGCTCTTCTGGCTGGTGTCGGAAAAGGGTCGGATAGTACAGGCGCCTTCTCTTTCTCGCCATACCGGCGCACAATTATGCAACAGGCAAGAAGAGCTGATGTTGCACGTGGAGGACCAGTGTTTCTACGCTTCAATGACAGGCTTCGTGCAACCTGCCATATGGATTGGGCAAGTGGGTCAACCTCGGGCAGTCCCCGAGTCTCAAGCGAACCTCAAGCAAACATCGACATCACGACGTACGGGTCATACGCTTTGACGAGCGCTCGCGCAGTCGGCAGTCAGCAGACATCGTAGCTCGTGTAGGTGGATCCATCACGTTGCTATACACTTGATCGTCGGGCCAGCTATATCCGTCAATTCACTTCACCGCGCGGCTAGGATGCGATGCAGGTTCGGCTTCTTTCGATGCTCGGAAGCCGTATATAGCGCTCATACATATCCAGCGTCACCGTCATCCCCTTCTTTCTTTCACGGTCGCTATGAAGCTCTCTCTTTCGTTTAAGTTCGCCGCGCTCGCGCAGTCCCTCTTCGTGCTCTCCGCACTCGCCACGCCCAACCCCATCGCTGGTAGCTGTGAGTGCGCCTTCCGGATACGTAATCCCCTCGCTCACTTCACTCCAGCCACTGTCTCCGTTCGCGACCCTGCTATCTGGTACAGCTCCGACGCTAAGGCAAGCCTGCCTGACGCTTGACAGGTCAGTCTTGACTGACGTTCCAGTAGAAATACTACGTCTTTGCCACGGATGGGAACATCACGACCTGGACTTCTTCATCCTTGACAGGGTATGTTACGCACGCGCAACGATCGAGGCTCTACTGACTTCATCTATCCCGCAGACCATGGACGAACGCCGGTGCTGCCCTCCCGGGCTGTTCATCCATCAACCTCGGCGGCTCGAGCTGTGTCTTGTGGGCACCAGACGTCAACTGTACGCAGCAATAGTCATCATGTTGATCCGTCATACTGACCATCGTGCAGTCCAGAACGGACAATACGTCTTGTACTACGCCAGCTCCGCACTCGGCAGCCAGAACTCTGCCATCGGCGTCGCAACCTCTTCCTCTCTTGATCCCGGAACCTGGACGGATCACGGAGCCGTGATCACTTCCAAAGACGGCGATGCCTACAACGCCAGTACGCCTCCCACTCCTTCGTCATGCGTCCTTTTCGTGCGCTAACATGACCCTCTCACCCTAGTCGACGCGAACCTGATCAACGCCGACGGCCTCAAGCTCTCCTTCGGATCCTGGAACGAAGGAATGTACCAAATCAGCCTCTCAGACGTCTCGACGCCCTCCTCGTCCCTCCCGGGCTCGCACCTCGCCGGCTCCGGCGCGCGCCCCGCAGAGGGCGGGTTCGTGTACAAGCCCGCGGGGTCTGACTTTTACTACTTCTTCTTCTCGTACGGGATTACGCCGCTTGTGGGCGCGACGAGCAGGCCGGCGGCGGGGACGGAGTATCGGGTGCTTGTTGGGCGCAGCTCGGTTGTTGGGGGGCCGTATGTGGATGCGGATGGGCAGGATTTGACGGTGGATGTTGATCCGCCTACTGGGACTGTTGTGCTTGCTACGCACGACAATGTCTATGCACCGGGCGGTACGTGTGATCCCTTCACTGCAAGTCATGCGGACTTGTACTGATGGACATTCCAGGTCAGAGCGTGTTCCTCGACCCCGTTAGCAACAGGGATGTCATTGTGTACCATTACATCCCGAACGACGCGGCCGTCGGCGGACCGTCGTACCTGGGCATCAACTACCTCGACTTTAGCAGTGGTTGGCCCGTACTCGTCGATTGAGCGGAGAGCTTGGCTTCATCTTTACATGATTCACGCTTGCATACCTTCACGTATATTTATTTCCGGACGGAATTCACACTGCGGCATTCGCATTCAGAATGGTATTGTTATCGCGTTTCTTTGTGAAGAGCTTTCTTGGACAAGTAGACGCAATGGCTCTGGTCGCCGAACGTACGGTTAAGTAGGCTCAGCCCGTAGAGAATAACTTGTGGCGGTGCGCGAAGTTGGGACGTGGCGCCATTCGCCGTCTCGGGCTGACCTCGGCGATCTCCTTCGTGCTCTTAGTTGTTGAGGTTCCAGTCAAACGTCTCCATCGTGAGCACACCCTGGGGTCGATCCCCAACGAGTAACCCAAGGCCATATGCGTACAGTCCAAAGTGATAGAACATGGTAGTCAAGCAAAACATCGTGTCCACAATCAACCTCACGCCCAACTCGCCTCATGCGCATCCCTCCTCATAGGCGCCCACCCAACCCTCACAGGCGTCTTCCCCATCACAGCCGAATGCCTAATCGCAGTCAACGTGTGCTCCTCATCCCTATCCTCCCCTGCCTCCCCTCCCTTTGTCTCAGCGTCTTTCGAAGGGAGCACCTTCAGCACAGTATACACCTCCCCAATCTCCGGATCAGGAGGAACGGACTTGACTGGCAGTGGCCGACCACGCGTGAACGCGTGTACAGGATCGAGAGTACCGAGCGATTTTATCCAGTGGAGCGTGGACGTTAGGGATACGTGCACTTCCCAGCTGCCGCCTTCCTACAAGCACATCCATCCCGTCAATCAACAACTTCATCCACTTAGAGAATAAAGTGAGGAAGGGAGGACGTACAGTGACAGTCTTGCCCAACGCCGCCCCAATCCCAAACGCGAGAAAGTACCCCGCCGCGTGGTCGAGCGCTTGCATCGGGAGCTGTCTGTACGGCGGCAGCTCTTTGGCGTCGATGCCTTGAGAGCGCATGTAGGACGCGTAGGCGTCGGCTTCGGCGACGTTGAAGCCGGCCATTGTTTGGACGAGCGAGTCGAACTGCGTATGCGTCACAATCAGACCGTCAGACGAGGATGAGAAAGTGAGGGGAGGGGAGAGGAGGGGAGGAAGGGAGGAGGAGAGAAGGACGTACGCCTCGCACACCCGCCCACTTACTATCCCTCGGATACGCGCTCAACCCCGCACAAACAATCCCCGGCCTCACCCTCGCCGCCTCCTCAGCACTGAACCCTCTCCCGTCGAGACTCCCAGGCCTATACGCCTGCAGAAACACGTCCGCCCCCCCAAGCAAATCTCGCAGGCGTGATTGAGAGGAGGGAAGGTCGAGATCGAGCTGTGCCGTGCGTTTGCCGCGCGATGTGTCGGTGTCGAGGGTGGGGAGGGTGGGG